TGAGGCCCTGGATTCAATCCTCAGCACCACATAAAAATAAATAAAACAAAGATATTGTGTGTCCAACTACAATTAAAAAATAAGTATTAAAAAAAAAGTCTCCTCTGGGTTCAATCCCTAGTCTCCCCCTGCCCCTGCTGCCCAAGTAAAATAATTTGTAAAACAATTGAGTAACTTTGAAAAGTGATATTAAGGAATTAAATTTTTTTTGAAATAATTTTTTTTAAATTTTTTTTAGAGAGAGAGAGAAAGAGAAGTTTTTTTTTTTTTATATTCATTTTTTTTTTTTTTTTAGTTTTCGGCAGACACAACATCTTTCCTTGTGTGTGGTGCTGAGGATCCAACCCGGGCCGCAGGCATGCCAGGCGAGTGCGCTACCGCTTGAGCCACATCCCCAGCCCAAAATAATATTTTTAAAAAAATCCTTATCAGGACTGGGTTTATCTCAGTGGTAGAGCACTTACTTACCTAGCATGCACAAGGCCATTATATCCCCAGCATGCAAAAAGTAAAAAAATGTAGGTTTTAATGGTTGGGGGTACAATTGGTGGTAAAGCACTTGTCTAGCATGTGTTGGAATATTTATGGATGAAAGGATATGATGTCTAGAACCATTTTAACCTGATCCTTTAGAAATGCAGAAAGAAAGTAGGGGGTGGAGCATAAAGTATAGATGACTGACTTCCCCCCTTCCCCCAGTACTGGGGATCAAATCCAGGGCTTCAGAAGCTAGGCAAGCACTCCACCACTGAGCTGTATCCCTAACCCCAGACTGGCATTATTTATGTTGATGATTATTGAAGTTGAGTTATAATGTACATGGTGATTCACCATACTACCCTTACTTTTGGAAATTTGGGTAAAAAGGAAAAAAGAACCAGCGGCAAGAGGATCAGAGTTCAAAGCCAGCCTCAGCAACAGCGAGGCGCTAAGCAACTCAGTGAGACCCTGTCTCTAAATAAAATACAAAATAGGGCTGGGATGTGGGTCAGTGGTCAAGTGCCCCCGAGTTCAATTCCCGGTGCAAAAAAAAAAAAAATGGGAAGAGGAAAGATAAATGGGAACCAGCAATCAGATTCTTATTAATGGACTTTTGAATTTCTTTTGTAGTACTGGAAAGTGAACCCAGGGGTGCTCTACCACTGAATCACATCCCCAGCCGTTTATAAATTTTAATACATTTAAAAAATACCTTTATTTATTTAATTTTATGTTGTGCTGAGGATTTAACCCAGTTCCTCACACATGCGAGGCAAGCACTTTACCACTGAGCTACAGCCCCAGCCCCAATTTTTTTAAAAATTATTTAAATTTTGCAGGGCTGGGGATTGAACCCAGAGGCACACTACCACTGAGTTACATTGCTAACCCTTTTCAATTTTTGCATCATTGCCCAAACTGGTCTGCAACTTGCAATCCTTCTACTTCAGCCTTCAGAGCAGCTGGGATTACAGATGTACATCACCGTTCTTGACTAAGCAGCAATTTTAGAAGATTTAAAAATAACCAGATTTTCTTTCTTTTTTTTTGAGAGAGACAATTTTCTTAATATTTATTTACTTTTTAGTTTTCCGCGGACACAACATCTTTATTTTTATGTGGTGCTGAGGATCGAACCCGGGCTGAAAGCATGCCAGGTCGAGCGCGCTACCACTTGAGCCACATCCCCAGCCCCAATCTTGTATCTTATTTCCACTGGAGAGTCTTTGTTTAATGATGAATACCTTTTGGAATAGCTGAGTCTGACACTCTTAAAACACTAGAGCATATGAGGATTTTCAATTTTACTATGTTTTTTTTTTTTTTTTGGTGGTGGTACTAGGGATTGAACCCTCAGCCTTGTGCATGTGAGGCAAGCACTCTGTCAACTGAGCTGAATCCCCAGTCCTTACTAGGATTTAGTGTCCCTTTTTATTACAGAAGTTTTACACAAATAGACCTTGTTTGTATCTGAATAGAAATTAGGGTGCAGCTATAGAATGAACACTAGCTGTCACTCACCACTAGAGGGATCCTCTGACCAGAAAAGGGTATCTACTGCACTCCCTTGACAGCTGTAAACTGAAGAGGGAATGTTAAGGTCAGGGTAGCATAAATAAATAAATAATAAAAATAAAAACCATGTATGCTTAAAATACATTTAGATACAATTCCTGCTTAGCGAAAACTGCCTTCTTGGGCTGGGGATGTGGCTCAAGTGGTAGCACGCTCGCCTGGCATGCGTGCGGCCCGGGTTCGATCCTCAGCACCTCATACCTACAAACATGTTGTGTCCGCCAAAACTAAAAAATAAATATTAAAATTCTCTCTCTCTCTCTTTAAAAAAAAAGTAAATAGTTTATAAAAAAAAAAAAACTGCCTTCTTTTTATACAGATTAAATGAGGGCTGAACCTGTGAGTTAAAGTCAAAATTAAATCAAGAATCCCTAATTCCTCTTATAACCCAATGATTCCATCACATGGTTGTTTTTTTTTTTTTTTGCAGTACTGAGGATTGAATTTAGGGCCTCACACATGCTAACCAAGTTGTCTGATTATCACTGAGTTACATCCTCTGCCCTTTTTATTTTCTAGAGACAAGGTCTCCCTAAATTGCCCCAGCTGTCCTGAAACTTTTGATCTTCCTGCTTTAGCTTCCCAAATTGCTGGGATTACAGGTGTGCACCACTGTACCCAGACCCATCAAGTTTTATTTATATAAGAATTTAACCTAGGGCTCGGGATGTGGCTCAAGTGGTAGCGCACTCGCCTGGCATGCAAGCCCTGGGTTCAATCCTCAGCACCACATAAAAATAAATAAAGATATCATGTCCATCTAAAACTAAAAAATAATTATTTTTTTAAAAAAGAATTTAACCTTTATTTATTATTTTTTATTTTTTTATTTTTATTTTTATTTTTTTTTAAATTTTTTTAATGTTTATTTTTTAGTTTTCGGAGGACACAACATCTTTGTTTGTATGTGGTGCTGAGGATCGAACCCGGGCCGCACGCATGCCAGGTGAGCGCGCTACCACTTGAGCCACATCCCCAGCCCTATTTATTATTTTTTAATGTAGTGCCGAGGATCGAACCCAGTGCCTCACCGAGGCTAGGCAAGCGCTCTACACTGAGCTACAACCCCAGCCCCAAGTGTTTTGTTGTTGTTGTTTGGTATTGGGGATTGAACTCAGGAGCACTCGACCACTGAGCCAGCCCTAGTTTGTATTTTTTTTAGACCGGGTCTCACTGAGTTGCTTATTGTGCCTCACTTTTGCTGAGGCTAGCTTTGAACTCGAGATCCTCCTGCCTCAGCCTCCTGAGCCACTGAGGCCACTGGGATTACACACAGAGACCACCATGCCCCGCCCCATCAAGTTTTTGTTACCATCTCAATGCTGTTAACTTTTCTTTCCAATTGCTCTCACCATCAACCCAGACTCACATCACCTCACATCTGACTTCTAGTCCAACCAGTCTGCTTTTTCTTTTTTTTTTTTTTTTTTTTTGAGAGAGAGAATTTTTAATATTTATTTTTTAGTTCTTGGCGGACACAACATCTTTGTTGGTATGTGGTGCTGAGGATCGAACCTGGGCCGCACGCATGCCAGGCGAGCGCGCTACCGCTTGAGCCACATCCCCAGCCCCCAGTCTGCTTTTTCTATCCATTCTGATAAAACTTTGTTAACAGAGTCATGCATGGTGCATGCCTCTAATCCCAGTGGCTCAGGAGGCTGAGGCAGGATCACAAGTTCTCAAAGCCAGCCTCAGCAGTTTAGCAAGGCTTTGAGCAACATAGGGATGCCATCTAAAAAAAAAAGGTTGGGGCTGGGGTTGTGGCTCAGCAGTAGAGCGCTCGCCTAGCACATGCGAGGCCCTGGGTTCAATCCTCAGCACCACATAAAAATAAATAAAATAAAGGTACTGTGTCCAACTACAACTAAAAAATATTTTTAAAAAAGTTTGGGGATGTGGGGTAGTGGTTAAGCATCCCCAGTTTAAAAAAAAAAATGTTAACAGATTGTCTTTGAATTATTTTTTGGTTTTGGGTGTTTTGCAACAATGGACATTGAACCCGGGGCCTGGAGTATCCTAGGCAAGTGCTCTACCACTGAAGACACACCCTGTCCTGAATTATTTTTCTCTAACGTTTTTCCACTTTTTTTTTTTTGGTACCATCTTTCAGAGAATTTAGGCTTAGATACCTCCCATCTATGTTTTTTACTCCTGGATATTATAAACTCCTGGAAGGACAATTACTTCTTTTGACCTCCAACTGCTTTGGGCATTACTCACTAGCTGCTACATAAATATTTGTAAAATATTCTTAACAGGATAGGGAACAGTGGTATGGAAAGGAGGATTCTCTAAAGCTTCCCTATCTCTATGCCTTAAAATGAATCTAACTGCTGAGCACAGCAGAGCATGCATGTAATTCTAAGCAATCCACATGTGAGTGGCTCAGGAGGCTGAGGCAGGATTACAGGCTAGAGGCCAATCTCTCAGCAAGTGAGCAAGGCCCTAAGCAACTTAGTGAGATGCTGTTTCAAAATAAAGTTAAAAAGACTGGGATGTAGCTCAGAGGTAGAATGCTTGCCTAGCATGGAACTGAGATTCCAGCCCCAGCACCAAAACTCAATCAATCAAAGGGCTGGGGATGCTCAATAGTAGAGGACCCTGGGGTTCATTTCCAGTACCACCCTCCACCAAAAAAAGTGTTAGGTTGTAGCTTGGTGATAATACATCACTGGGTTCAATCCCCAGAACCCGCTCTCCCAAAAGATAAAGAGTCCCAGGTCAATACCCAGTAATGGGAAAAAGTAAAGGTACCAAGAGGGGTGGGGTGTATATATCAGTGGTAGAGCACTTGAATTAGGTGCAAGTCCACAGATTCAATTCCCAGTATTTAAATAAACAAAGAAACAAAAAACACAATAAGAGGTCTAAATAAGTGATGAAAGTTTAATACATTAAAATGATATTTATTATTATCACATTTTGCCATTTCTGAACAATACAAAGTAGAGGCAAATAGTAACACTTCATAAAAACGATGAGTTCCCTATTCCTTTCCCTAGACCCAGCCCTCCCTCAAATATCCCCTCCCACCCCTTACAGAACTCTGTCCTGAATAAAACATTTAAATACATCATAAATAGTAAATTATGAAAAAAAAAATAGCAAGAATTGTTTCTTTCCGTCTTGTAAAAAACATGGCAGCAAAGACAGGCAGCCAGAAACTGGTTGGAGGCGTCTAATATAGACAGTTATTTGGTGTACGGGTTAACCTACTATCCAGGTACAGTGGGATGGAGAAGAGATATTGTGGGACTTCAACAATCTGCCTGAGACACAAGGCCCTCTTCTTCCCCTGACAAGAACGGACAATTCAGACAGCCAGCCACAAACAACTCTTAGAGATGGGCAGGAGAGGGCTTATATAGCTCCCACTTCCAACTTCCCTGCATGAAGAGAGGGGAGAGAGCATGTAGCACAGCAATGATCTTACCAGGAGGCTGCTGGCTCCCCAAGAGTTTAAGAAAACATTCTCAATTCTGGTAGATATGGACTTCCTGGTAGTCTCCCCCTCCACCTTAGCTCCATGAACAACAGAACATTTTTTGGGGGAAAATGGGAAGAACAAGAAATCTCCTTTAGAGAATGTAAAGTCTTCAATGTTTAGAAAACAACCAGAATACATTTCAAATTGCAGAACCGTAATAACTATATGGTCTGGCAGTGAACAGGGTCCTCCCTAGAAGAGCTCTGAAGAGCCCCATACCCACCCCACTGGATTAACAAAAGGAGTAAGACAACCCCATGTTGCACTGTCTCCACTCCTTCATCCTGGAGAAATCAAGAGAGGAGGAGTTAAAGAGGAACTCTGCTGGTCACCATATTTCTGCTTCACCAACACCAGGGCTCTTCTGTGGGAAGAGGCATACAAATAGGTCTCTCTTTGACACTTCTGGAATTTGATCTGAAACTGCCTTGAAATTGTGCTATGAACTGTTTGTTCTTTTCCTTTTTTAAGGAAAAAAGAAGGTTGGGAGGTGGTTAACACCCTTACTCTCCCAAAAATCTTTACAGAAAGTGCAGGGTCTTATTCAGGGATCAGAGAGAAAGAGCTAAGATGGGGATAATTTGTCAGTCAGTCTGTCTTGAGGAAATTAATAAGAGTCCAGCTCCTGATGAAAGGTAGATGAGGAGGGAAGAAACCCAAAGTCCAGCAACCCCACTTCCAGCACAAAGACTGGGGCTTTGAAAAAATTCAGTTGTGGAAGCCAAGACAGGCTAGTTGAAAATTCATGCCACCCAACTTAAGTGGAGGGGATACTGCTGTCCTCAATTGTCCAAGGCACTAATGCCCATTCAGAGAAAGGTCAAGGAGAGTAAATTCTTCTACAGGTAGTGAAATGGAGAGCTCCCCTAGCCTCCAAATCATAACTCCTTTTTTGATGACCAAGCAGAAGAAAACTCAGCATTCCTGGGGCAAAGGCTGACATTCTAGGATCAGAGACAGCAGAATCTTAATTCAGGTCTTCTAGAATTTCTTGCTCACTGAAAGGGAAAAGAATTGTAAAGTTAAATATTTGGAGTATATTTGATAAGGAAGCAGAAATGAAATTGAAGGTAATTTTAATCTAGCTGCCAAAATTAAGACACTTTCTTCTATTTCAGCTTCAGTTTCCAAATATAAGTTCCCAAACCCATAAAACTTTAAAAAGCAAAAATTAGGGGAACCCCTCTAACATTGCCAATTAACTTCTTGCTCCATTCCACCCGTGACCCATTTTTTTCTTGGTACCACCAGGGATTGAATCCAGGGGTGCTTAACTACTTAGCCACATCCCCATCCCTTTTTAATATTTTATTTAGAGACAGGGTCGTGCTGAGTTGCTTAGATTGCTGAGGCTGGCTTTGAACTTGTGGTCCTCCTGCCTCAGCCTCCTGAACCACTGGGATTACAGGTGTGCTGGGATTGCAGATGTGTGTCACTGCACCCGTCAGTGATTCACTTTTTACCCTCCAAAGTACTCTACCTCCCCCACATCCCAAACACTCACATGGCAGAACTCTGACTCTGTAATTTCAAGCTTTTCCAACATTAAACTAACAAGAGAAAAAGAGACAGGAGAAAAATTAGATTAAAAAAAAAAAAAAAAAGACCCCAAGGTCACATCTCATGCTGCTTCACTTCAGAATCAAATTTTTTTAATTTAAATTTTTTTTTTAGTTGTAGTTGGACACAAAACCTTTATTTTATTTATTTTTATGTGGTGCTGAGGATTGAACCCAGGGTCTTGCAAGTGCGAGCGCGCTAACGCTGAGCCACAACCCCAGCCCCAGAATCAATTTTGGATTCAGAAAGATGTTAAGAAGCTACCCAATTTATTTATTTATTTGTTTATTTTTATTTATTATTTTTTTTAGAGAGAGCTGAGAGAGAGAGAGAAAGAGAGAGAGAGTTTTCAACATTTATTTATTTTTTAAAAATCTTCAGTATTTATTTATTTAGTTAGTTAGTTTTTGGCCAACACAACATCTTTGTTTGTATGTGGTGCTGAGGATCGAACCCGGGCCGCATGCATGCCAGGCGAGTGCGCTACCGCTTCAGCCACATCCCCAGCCCCAACATTTATTTATTCTAGTTCTCAGCGGACACAACATCTTTGTTGGCATGTGGTGCCGAGGATCGAACCCGGGCCGCACGCACGCCAGGCGAGCGCGCTAACACTTGAGCCACATCCTCAGCCTGAAGCTACCCAATTTAGAAGTACTAAGTACGTAAGCTAGCACCACAAAATAAATGAATGAATGAATGAATGAATGAATGGAAAAAGTCACCAAGAAACTGCCCTCAGTCCAAAAGTCTTCAAGGAATCCTATAACCAACCATGTAAGTAAGTGTGGAAGTAGATTTAAATTATTTTAGTTTATAATTATGTAGTTTCTTGAGCACTACAAAATATTTCATAGTACTCTGCTTTTCTTTCTTCAATTCCCAGGTATGGAAGGCAGCCTTTAAATGTGCTCCCAAAAATCTCTCCCTCCTGGTAGTCACCTCTTCCTCTTTAGTATGGGCTGAATTCAGTGATTCTCTTGTAACAGAATGTAGCACAAATGAATATGAATTCTAAGACTAGGTTAGGAAAAGACCAGATTCCTCTCAGTTTGCTTCTTCTAAGGAAAGCTAGGAAGCTGCTATGATATAAGCTGTCCTATAATAGATGGGACAATATGTGACAAGGAACTGAGGAAGTACCATCAGCAAAAAGTCATCAACAGGTGAGGGAGGAACAGAAGGTCACTGGATTAGACAAAGGGGAACGAAGGGAAGGGAAAGGAGATGGGAATAGGAAGGACAGTAGAATGAATTGGACATAATTTCCCTATGTTCATACATGAACACACGACCAGTGTAATTCCACATTGTGTAAAACCACAAAACTGTGAAGTTATACTCTATGTATATATGTCAAAATACACACTACTGTCGTATATACTTAAAAAGAACAAATTAAGTTTCGAGGTAACTTGTTACACAATAGATAATACAGATTTGTGCAGTTTTTCTAACAGAAATGTAAAGTTTAGGGATCTAGGCATATAGCTAGCTCATTGGCAGAGTGCTTACTTAGCATGCAAGGAGTTCCTAGGTTCAATTCCCAGCAGTACCACACCACCATTGCCTCACACACACAAAAAAGATGGCTTTGACTTTAGAAGATGGGAGTGGCTTTGAGGAGAGTTTTAATGCAAGTTTAGTGTCCTGAATGTGCTATTTATAGAATTTTGACTAACTAGGGTTACCAGTGAGAAAAATCTAATTAGAAATGTAATTAGGAGGGGCTGGGGCTTTGACTCAGCAGTAGCGCACTTGCCTGGCATGTGTGAGGCACTGGGTTCGATTCTCAGCACCACATATAAATAAGTCTATCAACAACTAAAAAATTATTATTATTATTTTAAAGAGAGAGAGAAAATTTCAATATTTATTTTTTTAGTTTTTGGTGGACACAACATCTTTGTATGTGGTGCTGAGGATCGAACCCGGGCCACAAGCATGCCAGGTGAGCGTGCTACCGCTTGAGCCACATCCCCAGCCCCTAAAAAATTATTTAAAAAAGGAAAAAAAGAAATGGAATTTGGAGATCCTTGTAATGTAATGGCATAAAACTTACCAGCAACATCTTCCAGTTAGTGAAAAGCAGAACATGTGCCTAAGTAATGAACTGGTGATCTGGCTAAGGAGATTTCCAAGCGAAGTCTTGAACTGTCACCTGGTTTCTTTTTCTTCTTCTATTTTGGTGGAGCTGAGATCAAATCCAGGGCTTCATGCACACAAGGTAAGGATTCTACCACTGAGCGACATCTCAAGCCCAATGGAAGAATTAACAAACAAAAAGAAGCCAGGATTTGGAAAGTTTCAAAACTTCTGAACTTTGGTAGGGCATGGTGGTGCATACCTATAATCCCAGCCATTTGGAAGACTGAAGGAGGAGGATTGCAAATTTGACGCCAGACTTGGCAATTTAGCAATTGAGACTCTGTTTCAAAATAAAAAAGGACTGGGAGCCGGGTGTGTTGGCATGCACCTATAATGGAGCAGCTAGAGAGGCTGAGGCAGGAGGATCGAGAGTTCAAAGCCAGACTCAGCTGAAGTAAACGACTGAGACCCTGTCTCTAAATAAAAATACAAAATAGGGCTAAGAATGTGGTCCAATAGTTGAGCGCCCCCGAGTTCAATCCCCAGTACCAAAAAAAAAAAAAAAAAAAAAAAAAAAGACTGAGATATAGCTTCGTGGTAAATCACCCCTGGGTTCACCTCTTGGCACAAACAAACAAAAAACCTGAAACTCTTGAGAGAGCAATCAATGCTAAAATTAAGAAATTGCAGCAGGGCACAGTGGCACATGCCTGTAATCCCAGCAGCTCAGGAGACTGAGGAAGGAGGATCACAAGTTCAAGGCCAGCCCCAGCAATTCAGCAAGGCCCCAAGCAACTTAACTTGTTTCAAACTTTGTACCCCTGGGTTCAGTCCCTAGTACCCACCACCACTCCCCTACCAAAAAAAGGAAAAATTACTCAGCTGCAAAGCCAAGCCAAGAGATATGAATTATTCTCTCACCTTGAGATCTAATCAAAGAAACGCCAACATTTCCTGACTTTCAGAATAGCTAATGCATCAGTTAACTTCTTTCATGCCTCCCATAACTCCTCACCACTTTTTTTTTTTGGAGAGGGGCACATGGGGCCTGAACCCAGAACCTCACCTCATACATTAGCCAAGCCAAGCACCTTACCACTGAGCTGTACCCCAGCATCCCCTAACTTTTGCTACTGGGGATCAAACCCAGGGGTGCTCTCCCTCTGAACTACATCCCCAGCCCTTTTATTTTGAGAAAGGGTCTTGCTATGTTGCTGGGGCTGGCCTCAAACTTGTGATCCTTCTGCTTCAGCCTCCCAAGTAGCTGGGATTACAAACATGCATGACCATGCCCAATTTAACTTGTCTTTGTAGTTTCACAGACTAGAAGCTCTGGTCGAGCAGCTGAGCTTAAGGAACTTAAACCCAGGGAACTCAGTCAATCTGGACCCAACTTGTATAACAAAATTCTGGGCTTTGATCCAGTGCTAAAGGGATAACACTTTGGGAGATCTCTAGAGGAAGGAAATGTATTTTGCACATAGAGAGATGTAAGTCAGTTGGAGCCAGGAGCCAGACTGTGATATGCAGTTCCTAAAATAGCTCCTAATGATCCTTGCTCCTGGTATTCACATCCTTGTGTCATCCCTTCCTTTTGAGTGTGGGCTGCATTACTCAGTAAAATGAAGCACAAGTAATAGTATCCTATTAATTCTGTAATTAGGTTACAAAAAGATTATGGCTTCTGCTCAAGCATATAAGAAGCCAACTGCCATGCTCTGAGCCTCCCTCACAGAGAGGCCCACATAGCAAAGAAGTGAGGGAGGCCCCCAGGCCCTAGCCAGCAAAGAACTAAGACCTTCCAGTTCAGCAATCCACAAGGAACTGAATCATGCCAATAACTACACAAATAAGCTTAGAAGCAAATCCTCCCAGTCAAACCTTCAGACAAGACTCTAGCACCAGAAATAGCTTGATTGCCACCTCATGAGAAACCTTGAGCCAGAAGACCTAGTTAAGCTGCACCTGGTTTCCTGACCATGGAAACCATGATGTATATTTATTATTTTAAACCATTCAGTTTTAAGGTAATTTATTATGACTCAATAGATAACAAATACACAGGATAATAAAATTAAGTCATGATCTTTACACTGGACTCTATTGAAAAACTGTTCATTATTTTCATCACCCAGCAAAGATTTTTCCAGTCTAACATTCTTTTTTTTTTAAATATTTTTTAATTGTTGATGGACCCTTATTTTGTTCATTTATTTATATGTGATGCTGAGAATTGAACCCAGTGCCTCACACATGCTAGGCAAGGGCTTTCCCACTAAGCCATAACTCCAGCCCCCAGCCTTAAATTCTATGTGAAATTACCACCAGGAGATGAAGGGTTAGTTAGGATATGTGAGTGAATACCAGAAAGTCTGCACACACAGATCTCCGTTGTCCCCACACTTTTCCAAATAGCTTAAGATGAGCTCTTAGGAAGGAGAACCTGCACAAATCCTAATGAAGAGCAACTAACAATGATCCGCAGAAAAATAGAATTATGGAGGTTCCCAAAGACCTGAAGACAGAAAAGATACATGGAGAAAGGGGCCAAAGAACCAACCTTGTATTTAGTATCTGCAAAGTCTCTGGAACTACAGGTGAGAAACTGGGGCCAGGAACAGGTGAGCCTTCACCGATTTCTTTCAAAGGTGGAGTCTGAGGTAAAACATCAGGACGACCAAGATGAACATCTGGAAAAGAAAAAGAAGAAAATATTAAAAAGAGAGAGAGAGAGGGAGAGAGGGAGAGGGAGAGGAAGAGGGAGAGGGAGAGAGAGAGAGAGAGGGAGAGGGAGAGAGA